TACATTCGCCTCGCCTCGCAAATCACTCAATCGCAAACTCCACTGGCCACCGTGTAACGTGCTGTGCACTGGGGAGGGGGTTCTCCAGGGGAGATCTCAGAGGTTCAGGTCACTCAGCTATCTTGGAGGAGATGCAAGGGTGTAGTGCATTCAGTGATCAATTCCGAATCTCACCAAAGACCAACAAAAAACGGTTGCTTGCCCTCCAGTTCCCTTGACAGGGGATCTTGCAAGCTCTACTTATACATGATGCCGTAGAGGCATCCTGTCGCCACGCTACAATCCTCTCGAAGCCTCTGGTTGCCACGCTGTAATCCTGTCGAGGCTTCTGGTTGCCACGCTGTCATCCTTTTCCGGATGGCTTCCCAGCCTTTTAGCTCCTGTTTGGGAGGCGTTGACCCGTGGGGTGTTACACACCGGAAGAAGAACGAAGTAACCGTTACGCCCCCAAAAGCGTTCTGGCCGACCCGCCGCCCCACCCCGCAGACGAGAGGACGGAAACCTACCCCCCTGCTTAGGCCACGTCGATTCGAAAGAGGCGTCCAATAAGCCCATGTCAAGGATGTTTACCCCTGCCCTTGTCAGAGCCGTTGCTTGGAACGCCTTCGACCACGGCTTTATCTCCGTGCTGGCCGGCGGATCCTGGTGGGGGATCCGCGGCAAAAGGGCCCTCGGCTATAGCTGTTCGCGTGTCGGCAGACGTGGCCTCCCCGTTATAGCAGTCGACCCAGTGTTGCCTAACCGGGTCAAAAAGCCTGTGTTTATGGGGCACACTAAACTCGGGCTTCTTGAGAACTGAACACGACCTTTGCGGGTTCGAAGTTTCGGAGTCGACCACAGGATTCACATTGACGTTTAGGGGAGGGTCGGCTGTATTTTGAAAGGGACTATCGGGGGGGCTGCTGAGGGAACTGCTGGACGTCGACTGTGCTCCGTGATTGCTGCCTGGGGGTGCGGCGTCGGCAGCGTCGGGCATATTAACGTCGGCTGCATCTTGTGCGGGACTGCTGCACAACTGCAGTCCGGGACCGCTGCTTGATGCGGCGCAAGCACCGCCCAGCGGTGAATTGATCGGGAGGAAACCTCGAGAAGTTTTTCGTCCAAAGCCGGGGTCGACCTCAAGTGGGGGTTTTGTCGGAGGTGTATCAGACTGGCTTTCGCTAAGGGAGCTATTGGAAGTGCTGGCGGGGCTGGTGCTACTGTCTGCTTGCTCGTTGCTCGTCGTCGATGACGCAGCCGACGCGAGTGCCCCAGAGGCTGCATCTAGATCGATAGTTAGCTTTTTGTTCGAAGGTTGCCTGCCTAAAGTACAGCTCACCTGTCCCGGCCGTATTCTCTTGGCGAAGCTCAAGTTCGGCCAGCCCCTTAGCCTTTCCAGCCCCCTGTTTGAGCCGCTCCTTTTCGGCCTGTAATTCATCTATCTTCTTGGCTAGTTCGGCCCGGAGATTCTCGATCTCTTTGGCGTGCTGTGCGGCCAGCTGTTTCTTGATGTTCTCGGCACGCTGTTCAGCCTGCTCACTGGTCCCGGTTGTATTTTTCTGCTTGCTTTGGCGCAGTTTTTCAAGCTCGGCCCGTAAATTTTGGTTCTCCTCGGCTTGCCGTCTGATCTCCTCAGCCTGCTTCTCAGCCTGCTTCTCAGCCTGCTTCTCAGCCTGCTTCTCAGCCTGCTGCTGGGCCTTCTCCTCAGCCTGCTTTTTGAGCCTTGTGTTTTCTTCCTCCAGTTCGCGGATCTTTGTGTCGCGGGCGCGGTCGCGGGAGCGGGCGCGGGAGCGGCTTCCTAACAGTTTGCTTCGAACCCACCGCTGGAACTCATCGGGGCCTTTGGAAATGTATTCCTTGACTTCGCGAGGCGCGTCATCGAAGAGACCGCTGGCTAGGGATGTCATTGCGTCGAGGTCGGCTTAATCGAGCGAGCGGTGCTTGAATGGATGAAAGATTCGCGTGACGGGGGGCAGCTGGCCTGGTGTCGGAGGTAGGCCCGTGCCCAATGCACGTGCCCTACCAGGCCCATTTAGCCCTCCCGGGCCTGTGCCCTGCACAGGCTTTCAGCCTAGTGCACAACACAATCCACGTTCCAGGAGTGTTGCCTGCATTTCACCTTCCACACCTGGATTCCCTCCAGGACGTGTGTGACGCGAGGAAAAGGTTGGGGCAGAGGATAGGGGTCGAGAGTAGGGAAGTGGGTCTGGGCCAATCGGCGATCCCGGTGGGACCTGGGGTGCGGCTGGGGCAAGGGAGTCTGAAAGATAGCGGGTTTGGAAGGGGGCGGGTTGTGGAATCTCTCGCTGGCAGGTCCACCCCGCCTGGGAGCAATTTCCAAAAAGGTACATTGCACATCTCCTGCATCGCCTAAAAACCGCAGCGACGCCTGGTATTTTTTTTTCTGCCCTCGAATGGACCGCCACCGGCTCTTAAACGACACGTAGCCGGCACGTTCACCGCTTCTTCTCGTCCTGTCTTTATGGCGTGTCGGCTCGTGCACGGGCGGAAGTGTCCACTGCCCGCCAGCCCGTCGAGTCCCGGCACTTAAATGACGGACGAGGCGGTGCCAACAGATTAGATAAACCGACGGGCGCACGGGAAAGAAACGGCAGCAGCGGTTTTGAGTGCTGGGCGTTCGGAGAGGCAAAGGCAGCCGTTTCGTGCGCGCGATCAGTGACGCGTTTTCCACATGGGCAGATTTCCTCCATGTGTGGGTTGCTGCCTCCATGCTGCCCTCCCTTCTATGCTTTTTCCACCAACCTGCCCGCACAACAAGTGGGCCTGCCTGGCACCAAGCCTCACTAAGGCTACGTGCCATAGCATCAGCCAGCCCACTACCTTTTTCTACACCACAACACATCGCAGTCAGAATCTTGTAGCTACCAACGTACTCTGGAGCGAACAGCTTGACGCTGGCATCCTTCACGGCCTTCCAGATAGTTCTAACTTAACCAATAGGTCTATGCTCCGACCTAATATTAATCCTTCAATCACTGCAAACTGCCGAACACTGTCGGGGTCACGCAGTCGTTGCGATATCGCAGCGAGGGCAGAGGGTAATTACAGTATATCCAAAGGCGCTTAGGTGGCGCCACCTCGGCTTGGGGGCTACGTGGAAGTGGTTGGCTGGCCCTCGTACATGTACCCGGTACATCCTTGTATGGAGCCGTGCCTAACGGGTTGTCTCCCATCAACCGCCTCGCCATCACCATTGGCGGCCCTCTCCTCCCCTCTGTCCTGTCGACCCGTTATTCCACCAATTCAATTCCCTGAACTAGGACATGCTCCCTGCGGTGGTGGTGGTAACAGCCCAGACCGCCGCGCCCCGGAAGCTTGCAGGACGCTGCCTGGGCCGTTGCTCATGCTGGCCGCCTTCACCCCACAACGCTAGTATTTAGTCGTGGGATCGTTGGCTTCCTTTGCCGGCTTTCCCTCAATCCGACAGTTTGCACCTCCGACAGAGATCGAAAATGAAGAAATCAAGCACAAAAGGGCCTATTTTAGCCGCAATCATCGTTCCCACCAGTATCCTCCCGGGTTTGTTTTAGCGTCGACTGCGTGTTGGACGGCTCGCCCCGCTGCGCCTGGGTAGTCGGCGCGACGTACTCGACTTGCACGGTTCTCCGCTTATTATCCTGCTGGCGCGCGTGCCCAGCACCTTGGTGGACCCCGCCCTGCTTCGTGGCTAGCCCCCCAGCAGCCAGAGAGGCAGGGGTCTTCTTCAGCGATTCACGGACAGACGCACTCCGCACAACGCTGCCGTTTTCTCCAGCGTCTTCTGCGGGCACCGTGGAGTTCCGAATCTCGGTATGGGTGGTGGTGCTGATGATGACGAGTTCGACCACGTGGGCGTACTCGCTCAACCAGCTGTGCCGGGCCACCTCAACAAGGTCCGCTCGTCGTCGCGGGTTGGGCACTAGAATGCGTCGGAGCAGGTCTCTGGCGTGCGGGGTGACGTATTCGGGGAAGGTGAGAGGGGTGCTAACGATGTACTTGTACAACAGGTTAATGTTATCACCTTCGGTGTTCGCAGGGTCATCGTCGAACGGTAAGTGTCCGGCAAGCATGGCGTACTGTTGTTCGCATAAGTTAGCGTCACCAACTTCCTCGGGCCATTATTTTGGGGGAGCTCACTAGGATGACACCGCAGCTCCAAACATCCACCTTGCGACCGGTGTACAGCAAGTCCGTGACGACCAGCTCTGGGGCGGCGTAGCATGGGCTCCCGAGCTTCGTTAGCATCAAATCGCCCTTTCTCGGATTGTCGAGCCCGATTTTATCCAAACCCATCTTTTTTACGAATTCCTTATCCCACAGGCCCTCCTCCTCCTCCTCAGTCAGCTCCTCGTTTGGGTTGAATGTATTAGCAAACCCAAAATTGGTAATAATAATGTTGCGGTTGCGATCGAGGAGCAAGTTTTCCAGCTTCAGATCCCGGTGCACGATTCCCTTTTTGTGCATGTAGCCTACACCAGATACAAGCTGGGCAAACAGCCGGCGCGCGGCATGATCCTTTATGTACCGGTTGCGCAGGATGTAGTCGAACAGGTCGCCACCGGATGCATACTCCAAAATAATGCCGTAATGCCTTTCCGACTCATTCATCCTGTGGAGCCGGACGATGTTTGGGTGGGTAAGGTGCTTCAAAATATGAACCTCGCGCATGATTCCGCTCATATGGCTTAGGTTGCTGCCATGGGCACCCTTCTTAATGAGCTTGATGGCAACCTATGGTGATGTGTTAGCGAACTGCCACAGTAATCCGATTGGGGCCCTTTCTCTTTCTCCCTCTCACTATGCATACCCGGACTCCGCCTTCCTGCTTCCAGGCTAGCTTGACCTTGCTAAACTCGCCCTTGCCGATGGTGTTACCGAGGATATACTCTCCGAACTTGGTATGCTTCTCGCGTTTCGAGTGGTCGTGTCGACTCCGGGCGCCACGCGTCTCAGCGGGAGCGACGACTGGGGGCGGGGCGGCGTCGTCAACGCCATGATCCGAAGCCAGCCGCTCCTTCTCCCTCTCGATGTCCACCTCGGGCTGCGAGATCAGTATGCTGTGCATAATCTCGCTGGCCTCCCTCGAGGGGTCTTTGGACGACGAGACCGTGGTGGAGGCGCCGGTGTGGGTCCGAACTGGCAGCACGGTCGGCGCGCCGGAAGCCCTGGGATCGCGGGAGCTGCCACCACGCTGGGGGACAACGCCGTGATGTGGAGCAGGCGCATAGTGCTGTCGTTCCTTCCGACGCGAGTTGGACGAGGAATGTTCGCCTTGGAATGCGGTCAGCTGGTCAGAACCGTTGGTGCGGTTGTCAGGGGCGCGCCGAGGCGAGTTCTGGGCGCGACCATTCGTCGCAGCATATCTCTCCGGGCCGTCGCCGCCGTCGCTGCCGGGGAGGTCGTTGGCTGGGCGCCCCATCTGGATGTACCAGCGGTTATTGCCGACCTCTTGGATAAGGATCGGGAGCGAGTACTGCGACAGATTCGAGATGTCGGCTAGGCTGATGGCCGAAAAAATGGAAGCGGCGGCCCGTCGCCTCGTCGAGGTGGTAACTGATGTTTCCGAATGGCCGTCCGACGTTATGAGCTGTCTGCGGTATACCCTGGAGCTTTGCAGCGCCATTTCTAATTCAAAAGCGAGCGAGGACAGTTGCGCGCCTACCTCCGCAAAATCGGCGTGGGGTAGGTTTTGATCGCCCGATTGCAGCTGTCTCACCGTCCGGATGCTGTGCGCGTCGCCACCGTCGCTCCCACAGGCCCGCACAGTCCCGACCTCCGTATCGGGTCGCCCGACCATGCTATCGGCGCCCTCAAGCCGAGCAAGCCTGGCCGACAGTGTTGAATCGCTAGCCACAGCCTGCTCGACGAGCGCATAAAGCCGTACGACGGAGTTATTGATGTCGGCGATCGAGCCGGCTGAAAAAATGGTAAGCATGCAATTGAGCGAGCTTTTGTGATTCTGCAGGCGCGACAGGACGCGAGCAATGTCTTTCTCTTTGTGCATCCAACGCGCGCGGTCGAATGTCCCCGTAACGCCCGTGCCATTATAAACGAGCCCGAGGTCGTCGACGAGCGTTTCGAGTTCGTCTTTAGTTATGACGCAGCCGGTTAGGGCGGCGGCGAGCTGTTCGAAAAGGACCAGTTCGCGGCGCTCGGGGGGCACGGACCGGCCGCCGAGCAGACGGCCAGCGAGGAAGTGCTCGAGCTGGTGCAAAATGGCGGTGACGTCGCACAGATCGGTGAGGACGGAGCGGCAGAGCGGGGGCGCGTCGCCGTTGTGGACGATGGGCGACATGATGGCGATCAGTTTGGCGCCGGCGCCCAGGAGGCCGGCCACGGAGGCGGCGATGGATAAAGGGTCCATCCTTGCTGGGTTCGGGCGGGCAGCCGGGGTTTTCCTTCCGCTGGGCAACACCGCACAGAGCAAAGCAAAGCGCTCATCCGATCGTCGAGTTTTCCATTTTCAAAAAAAAAAAAAAAAAAATAGCTAAGAACGCAGTTTCGGCGGCGATCAATTGCAGGCGGCCACGGTATGTTTTACGGAATTCTGGGCGTAAAGCCTCGCAATCTGCCATGGCGGAGGCTGTGGTCCGGTGGCGTAAGTCGGCGTGTGGTCCTAGGCTGTTCGAGGTGCGTTAGCACTTGCAGCGGCGGGGTGGCTAGCTGTTTGCTAGCCGTCGGTCATTATGCTGGTGGTGGCGCAGGTGCTGCGGAGGTAGGGAACATTCGGTGGGTCTTGTCACGATCAGGGCGAGTAGGCTTCGCAGCCAGGTTCAATTGATACTACGGACCGAAGACTCTTCTAGTGGGGGGGGGGGGGGGGAGGGGGAGGGGAGGAGG